TAATTTTGTTATGATAATGTTAAGAGATTGTTTTAAAAAATAAGCAAAATAGGACAAAGTAAACTCTTGCTCACGCAAGAGGGAGGAAGAAGGAATAAATGGTTAAGTGTTATTGTTTTTTAGTTTTCTATTTTTCATAATATCTATGACATACTTAATATGCATAATGATCATTTTCACATGAAAGAGAGTGTGAGCACAAAGTGAGTAAAGGAGAAGTCTTGATAGCTACCCATAAGAAGACACATGGAGATTTTGTCAGTGATGAGACAAGGGAAATTGGTGCAAGTTTGGGATTGATTTTTCCATATTTGTTTAAAGTTTGTAATCTCAATTTGATTTCCACTTTGTTTGTTAAAATTTGCATTTTTTTGGGTCTCTTCTTTTCCATTACTTGGATCACCACAAAGTTTATGATCTGGTTAACTTTAAACTCTCGATCACCACATACATCTTTGTCAAAGGAAGCAATGCCAAAGTAATTTAAAATAGAAGTTAGGAAATTACTCCTTTGATAGTCTAAATATAATTTACATTGAATGAGAATAGAATTGTTATGTTATATGGTGTGTTGGTTGTCTTGACTAGGCAATTAAATGCGAAGTTGGTGGTATTATTGGTATGAATGTATTATTTGTAATTCTTTGCAATATGTTTAAGTATATTTATGGTGTGACTATGATGCTTAGATGGATGTATGAATTTATAAGATGATTAATGTATGTTGGTTTAATGAATAGGAGTTGATTTGGCTGTTGTTTGACTCTATTACACAGTAAAATAGGGTATAGACTGTGGTTTGTTTAAAGAATAATTTATCTTTATGATAATGTAGTTTCTTTTGGTTAAATGACTTGTAGATGTTGCATAATCTAAGGTTTGGACTACTTTGTGTTTGACTGAATTGCATTGTAGTTGTTACGATATCAGATTTTGATACATGTGAAGTAATTTTCCAATCTGTTTAAGTTTATTACAGCTCTTTGGCTTTAGTGTTTGCTAATGTGTGGGCTTACTTGACGTGGAAAAGAGTCCAAAACTATTTTTTACATTAACACTAGATGAGTATGTGAGGGTTATGCTTTGATGTTGTATGGTTCTTTTAGGTATTGTCACTACTATCTAAATGAATCCACAATTTTTAATACTGTAACATAATTTTTGAATTGATGGTATTGGTTATATCTAATTTGGAATTCTGCATTGTTTGGTTTTGGTTATATCTAATTTTGACTTATGCATTGATTGACTAGTCTTTTGTTAAACGTTATATTTAGGAAAAAATTGAAGCATATGAATCCACAACATCACCATCTCAATCAAAAGAAATATCCAATGCAGATTCATTGGCTCGACCTTTAGGAACCTAGGAGCATTGTGGACGTGTTCATGGTCTAGGTTTGGGTTCTTATCCATCTAAAGTTTTTAGAATCAATGCTCGTTGTCATAGTGCAGCATCTGCAGCTTCTCCTTCTTATATGTTGAATTCCAAACTCAGGTTTAATGAATAATTTACCAATATTTACTTTGTGAAACTTCATTTACTGATTGACTTGTTGGCTACCATTTTTCTTACCTTTAAATTCATTTTTTATATTATAGGTATCTTCTTTGACATCAGAGGTTAATGAAATGAAGGTCATTGTGACTTTCATGTTGCAAAATTATCGAGGTCAATTGCCTCCACAATTTGCAATATTTCAACCATCACCGGTAATAATTGTTAAATATATGAAATAATTTATTTAAAATAGATTACTGACGAATTATTATTTTATATTGTAGGTATCTGATCAAGGAAATATATCAAATGAGGATGAATTTTTTAATGCGTACTTGAATAATTTTATTATTTTATGTTGAACAATTACTTGTATTAAACATATTTAAAGTTTATTTTATATAATATTAAATTTTAGTTTCAAATTATTTTATTGTATATTTTGTTTATTAGAGATTTTTTATCATAATAAATTAATATAATGAAAAAAAAATCAATTTGATGCATTCCTGTTGACAGTTCGAAAAATCCTTACAAGTTCAATAACTTTAGGAACAAAGGTATGACTATTTCGAAATCGTTATTAGTTCTGACAGTTTTGTGCAAGTACCAACACTTTTCTATAACATATGTTAATAAAACTTTCCAAAAATTACGACGATTTTGAGTAAAACATCCGAAAATCGTTTCTCAATGATGTTTTTTTGACTGCTTTTAAAACTACGGGAGATGAATTTTTCAAAATTAAAACCGTTAATAACCCTAGAAAAAAATTCGTTTTTTAGTCTGATAACATCTAAAACAATTCTAAATAAACACATCTGAAAACCATTCTAAATAAAGTTTTGTATGTAACACTAGTAAAAAAAAGCTATTTTAACGCGCTATATACGCCTCGGTTTTACTGAAACCGAAGCGTATAAAAGCGCGGTGGCAATTTTGCAAAAACTGAGTGATTATATGTCTCGGTTATTTTTGAACCGGTGCCTATATCTTTTACTGTCTCGAGTAAAAGGACAACCAAAGCATAAAAGTCATGTCACTTCACCACTGCCAAGGAGTTTTTTTTTCTGACAAAGCGCTATTACCTCGGTTCAACTCAGAACCGAGGCATAATATGCGTTATTGCTTCGAGTAGAGGCCCAACCGAAGCATAATGGGTTGCCCCTTTAGGTTAAAATCTGAAAAATCTTAAAAGGCTTTTATCTTTCTCTCTCGCACAGGATTTTCTCTCGCACACCTCTCTCATCTTTGCCTCTCCGTCGAGCCATCAAGATGGTGTCTGCCTCCCTCCGCCGGTGCTTCTTCCAAGGACTCCACGGTGCCTCCAGTTCTCTCGCTGCTACCGCTTATTCCTCCGACAACTGACACCGGTGCCTCCAGTTCTCACCGCGGCTCCAGTTCTCTCTGCTCTTCCTCCGATTCTTACTCAAACCCTCCCGCCAGACCCTCCCAACCCATCATCATCCAACCAGTTTCCTACCCTGTCAAGCCCAAATCCCCGCCGCTAGAACCCTCGCCGGAATCCTCACCACCACCTGCCGAACCGCAATCCCTCCGCCCGCCGTCGGACTCGCAGCGCGCATGGAGGCCAGATCTGTGGTCATCGTGAGCCTCCAATGCCAGATCTGTGGTCATCGTGAGCCTCCGGCCACCATCGCGCGTTTCTCCCCCAACGGCGAGTGGGTCGCCTCAGTCGACACCTCCGGTACCATCACGATCTGGAGCACGTGAAACGATCTCCGGCCGCATCGACCACCTTCAGTGGTCCCCCGACGGCCTCCGAATCATTGCCTGCGGCGAAGGCCTAGAATCTTCTCGAAACTTCTCTGTGTGTGTGTGATATTATGTTTGACTTCGTTTATACGTTTGTTGTTGTTGTTACTGAAACATGCTTTGAGTTCTTACTATGCTATGAACCCCCAAAATGAAGCCTTAAGTTCTTTGTATGCTTTCTGTGTTGTTGTTCTTACTGAAACAGGCTTATTGTTGGTTGACAGTGAAGAGATGATGCCTAAGCTTTGGAAACGTTAGAAGATCATTTCATAGTGAATAAATTAAAAAAAAAAAAACAAGTTACCGCCTCGGTTACTTAAAAACCGAGGCATAATCCATTCTTTTCTGACTCAGTTGATAACCGAGGCATAAAACCAATGTCTTATTACCTCGTCCGAATATACTTCGGTTGTAAAACCGGTGCGTATAAACAAAACCAACCGGTGCCATATCCTCGTAATGCAGTAGTGTAATATATAATATATTTTATACAAAAAAAAAAGTAATACAAGATAAAGGCATGTGCTATTAAATACAATTATTTTATTATTTTTTTCTCATAAATTAAACAAATCTAAAATGATGTATGTAGTAATCAAAGAGTTGAAATCAGAAAATCACTAATACATATAAATATGAAGCAACGGATCTTACATGCAAAGAATCTTGTATTATGTTTCAAAATTACTTCCCAAGCTATATACACTAGTACAGTAAAGGGAAACGACAGCGGTTATTTTCGCTGATAGACACCGGTTCCTGAACCGAGGCATATTCAGGTGAGGTAAAAAGCAGTGGACTTTATGCCTCGGTTTTGAAACGGGACATATAATAATACGATTAGGCCTCGGTTCTAACAACCGAAATCGTTTCTCTTCCTTTACTGCCTCGGTTGGAGCCTGAACCGAGGCAGTAGGGTCCATTTTTTATTTTTTTTTTCTTCTTCTTTAGCCACTCGTATCATTTTGGTGCCTCAAGCTTCTGTCTTTGCTCACTCAAGCTTCTGTCTTTGCTCACTCAAGCTTCTTGACAAAAATCATTTTGGTGCCCCATGCCCAAGTTCCAAACCCCATGGGAGACACACTCAGAGGACCCATCTTCACCTGCCACAATCAACCATTGAAATTTGAAGCTACCTTCCCACTCACACCGTACCACACCACGCATGCCGCAAAAGGAAAATTCATTCCAGGCTTCTCAGATTCAATTCAAGCTTCTCAGATTCAATTCAACAAATCAATTTAACAGTCAAATTCAATTTAACAAAGGAACCAAACAAATCAAAACAAAATCAAATCTGGACAAAAAAGCTTCTGGATCCGCACAAGCTGGACAAAAAGAAATGAAATCTGGATCCGCATCCGCCTCCGCCATCACCGCTGCCTCTGTCGCTTCTCCTCCTCCTCCGCCACATCCTCTGCATTCGCCTCCGCGCCCTCCGCGCCCTCCGCATTCGCCCCCGCGCCCTCCGCATCTGCCTCCGCCACAAGGCCCTCATCCTCGCGCCATTCTTCTCCGATATTCTCCTCCAGCCGCCGCATCTCATCGAAGATTGTCCACTCCTCTGTCGCGCGCTGCTCTTCCTCCGCCGCCGCCGACTGCGCGATGCCTCTCCTTCCTCTTCATCGGGTGCTCTTTACGGAAACGGTGGCAGATCTGGGGCTGGCAGTGGCGTGGTGTGGTTTAGTTGTGGGAGGTTCGTGGGGGTAAGGAAGAAGCGGCAATGGAATGGAGGGAGAGAAGAATCCAAGAGCGAGAGGAGGCGAGAGCCTGGGGAGGGAGGCGAGAGCCAGGGGAGGCGAGAGCGAGGGGAGGGGAGGCGAGGCGAGAGCCAGGGGNAGGGGAGGCGAGAGCAAGGGGAGGCGAGAGCCAGGGGAGGGAGGGAGGGAGAGCCAGGGGAGGGAGGGAGGGAGGGAGAGCCAAGGGAGGCGAGAGTGCAGAGGGAGATATAGGTTAAGTTGGGGAAAAATTTTGGGGGGAAAAAAAAAGAGAGGCTTATATGCCTCGGGTCTGAGCAGTAGAGGCTTATGCCTCGGTCCTTTCCAAAAACCGGTGTCGTATAGTTCTTTCACCTCGGGTTCCTCTTAACCGCGTCAGAAACTGCGTCAGACACTAATATTTAGGCACCGTTGTTTTACCACCGAAAGTAAATCTCTTTTTGACACCGGTCTCGTCGACCGAGGCCGATAAGGTCTCATTAATTACCAAACGCCACGGGTCTGAATAGACAGCGGTTTTGTATAAAAAGAGGTCTATTGTGCGAGTTTAAAAGTATATTTTGTACTAGTGATATAAACAAATTCTCGAAATTAAAAAGAAAAAAAAACTCAATAATATTATCATGACTTTCGAAATCATGTGAAATAGCAATACCAAAATAAATATGACAAGTAAGGGATCATAAGTTAAGCCTTGATTAAAGTTTGAAAATCTTAATACCATGATTTTCAAATCCTTTTAATTATTATTCTACAACAATAATTGTTTTTAAGAAGAATGCGTGATAATAGACACTTTTAGACATTCTTTTGCAATGCTCAATACTCTGAACTGAGTAACAAGAGTAATTTAGACATTTTTAACCTATTTTGAAAAAAATATATCTAAAATAGAAAATTGAATTTTTATGTTTATTTTTATTTGAAAAAAGAAAGTAAAAATGGGATATGGCGTTGAGAATTCGTAGGACTTACTATTATATTGCCAAATGTGTTGCAACCATAAATATGTGAGTAAAAATGAGAGCATAATAATTGAACAATTATTCGCGTTACCAGTGAGTGAAACAATTATTATTGAACAACCACAATAGAGATTGGGATATTACAATTTGCATATAATAAAAAAAACCGCTTCAAGATAATCATTCTTGAACTTTACTTGGTGCAAGTCCAGGAGGAACAATAAAAAAAACTCCTTCAAGATAATCATTCTTGAACTTTACTTGGTGGATGTCTAGGAACAGTGAAATCTAAAAAAGAAATCAAATTAAGAGGTTACCAATTAGTCATTAGCACTATGATAAATGATAAGAAATACTACTTTCATCCCAAATTATCTTGTTAGCCATTAGTTTGATGATCATAAAGCATGAGTTTGATGATCATTAAGCATGAGTTTGATGATCATTTAAGTTTGACATTCTAGAGGTCTTTAAAGGTGTTGTATCTAAAGAAATTACAAGTGCTAAAGATTTTCTTACTCATTGAAAAATGCTTTGTGAAAGTATCAGGCAAAGGAAATGTGAGAGAGTACATCACGGATTTCGAACACTTCAAAACTTACATGTACATTTGGTTTTAATCTCTCTTCCTTTACAATTTAGACAATTTAAGGTCTCATACAACTGTCTGAATGAGAAATGGTCTCTTAATGAGCTCATTTCATATTGTGTACAAGAAGAGGACAAACTAAAACAAGAAAAGATTGAAAGTGCTCACTTAGCTAGTACCTCTAACGACAAAGGCAGAAGAAAGAAAACTGAGAATTCTAGTAGTGATGCTGCTAAAGGTTCATCACAAAAGAAATAAAAACAGTTTAATAAATGTTTCTTTGGAATAAAATGTGACAATAAAGAAAGGACGCTTATTCCTCCGACAACTGACACCGGTGCCTCCAGTTCTCACCGCGGCTCCAGTTCTCTCTGCTCTTCCTCCGATTCTTACTCAAACCCTCCCGCCAGACCCTCCCAACCCATCATCATCCAACCAGTTTCCTACCCTGTCAAGCCCAAATCCCCGCCGCTAGAACCCTCGCCGGAATCCTCACCACCACCTGCCGAACCGCAATCCCTCCGCCCGCCGTCGGACTCGCAGCGCGCATGGAGGCCAGATCTGTGGTCATCGTGAGCCTCCAATGCCAGATCTGTGGTCATCGTGAGCCTCCGGCCACCATCGCGCGTTTCTCCCCCAACGGCGAGTGGGTCGCCTCAGTCGACACCTCCGGTACCATCACGATCTGGAGCACGTGAAACGATCTCCGGCCGCATCGACCACCTTCAGTGGTCCCCCGACGGCCTCCGAATCATTGCCTGCGGCGAAGGCCTAGAATCTTCTCGAAACTTCTCTGTGTGTGTGTGATATTATGTTTGACTTCGTTTATACGTTTGTTGTTGTTGTTACTGAAACATGTTTTGAGTTCTTACTATGCTATGAACCCCCAAAATGAAGCCTTTAGTTCTTTGTATGCTTTCTGTGTTGTTGTTCTTACTGAAACAGGCTTATTGTTGGTTGACAGTGAAGAGATGATGCCTAAGCTTTGGAAACGTTAGAAGATCATTTCATAGTGAATAAATTAAAAAAAAAAAAACAAGTTACCGCCTCGGTTACTTAAAAACCGAGGCATAATCCATTCTTTTCTGACTCAGTTGATAACCGAGGCATAAAACCAATGTCTTATTACCTCGTCCGAATATACTTCGGTTGTAAAACCGGTGCGTATAAACAAAACCAACCGGTGCCATATCCTCGTAATGCAGTAGTGTAATATATAATATATTTTATACAAAAAAAAAAGTAATACAAGATAAAGGCATGTGCTATTAAATACAATTATTTTATTATTTTTTTCTCATAAATTAAACAAATCTAAAATGATGTATGTAGTAATCAAAGAGTTGAAATCAGAAAATCACTAATACATATAAATATGAAGCAACGGATCTTACATGCAAAGAATCTTGTATTATGTTTCAAAATTACTTCCCAAGCTATATACACTAGTACAGTAAAGGGAAACGACAGCGGTTATTTTCGCTGATAGACACCGTTTCCTGAACCGAGGCATATTCAGGTGAGGTAAAAAGCAGTGGACTTTATGCCTCGGTTTTGAAACGGGACATATAATAATACGATTAGGCCTCGGTTCTAACAACCGAAATCGTTTCTCTTCCTTTACTGCCTCGGTTGGAGCCTGAACCGAGGCAGTAGGGTCCATTTTTTATTTTTTTTTTCTTCTTCTTTAGCCACTCGTATCATTTTGGTGCCTCAAGCTTCTGTCTTTGCTCACTCAAGCTTCTGTCTTTGCTCACTCAAGCTTCTTGACAAAAATCATTTTGGTGCCCCATGCCCAAGTTCCAAACCCCATGGGAGACACACTCAGAGGACCCATCTTCACCTGCCACAATCAACCATTGAAATTTGAAGCTACCTTCCCACTCACACCGTACCACACCACGCATGCCGCAAAAGGAAAATTCATTCCAGGCTTCTCAGATTCAATTCAAGCTTCTCAGATTCAATTCAACAAATCAATTTAACAGTCAAATTCAATTTAACAAAGGAACCAAACAAATCAAAACAAAATCAAATCTGGACAAAAAAGCTTCTGGATCCGCACAAGCTGGACAAAAAGAAATGAAATCTGGATCCGCATCCGCCTCCGCCATCACCGCTGCCTCTGTCGCTTCTCCTCCTCCTCCGCCACATCCTCTGCATTCGCCTCCGCGCCCTCCGCGCCCTCCGCATTCGCCCCCGCGCCCTCCGC